GCCCACTCCTTGCTCTCCACGTGGTCCGTTTTCGCCCATGGGACCGCCTCGCGCACCCATCTCCTCCTTGCTCACCCTTACAAATCCGGCTTTCACCTACCTAAGGAGCACATCAATCTAGATCTTAGGCCCGGTCCTCTATTTGTACCGTTGTAATGTGCATCTATACACTGCTAGACAATGAACCGAATATAGACGCAATCACACAATCCAACTAATATGATCCCTATTTGACGCAAAACACGTTATATAGGAGCTCCGGTCCAATAGGATCTCGGTTCCACAGGTTTGCTCATGAGAAAATCCTATATGCCGCATATTGCGGCAAAGAGTCGTGCTTTCGCGTAGAACCGAGCTAGCGACCTGATATATGGGCAGACCCATTTTAGCAGTCAGGTGCTCCCGATTTTCGTAACCTGTGAGAAGTTCATGTTCGGGTTTTTTTCTGTTTTGGAAACCTTCAAGAAGGTTCCTGAACCATTTTTTAAATTTCATGTTGATTACTTTTACTTGTTTTTTTTATTTTTTACCCTTTTTCTTATTTTCTTTATCATAAATTTGAAAATTTCAAAAAAGTTCACAATTTCCAAGTTTGTACAAAAAATTAAAATTTATTTAAAATTTCAAAAATTTGTTCATACTTTTAAAAAAATATTCACGTTTTTTTCAAACAAAATTTAAGTAAATGTTCGAAAATTCGATAAATGTTAGGAATTTCGAATTTTTGTTCATTTTTTAAAGGTGTTCAGAATTTAAAAAATAATATGTTTTTCAAAAAAGTTCACGTTATCAGAATTTTTTTTGAGTTTCAATTAATATTCCAACTTCAAAAAAAATCATGGATCGAAAAAATGTTCCAATTTTTTTGATCAACTGTTCCAATTTATAGACTGTGCACATCTCGCTCCCGCTCTGTACGCAATTGACCGGTCCAGCAGGACGCCGCCTGTGCGCTGACGAACCAGATATCCAAACGCGTTTTTATTATTATATCAGAAAAAGAAAAGATATCCAAACGCGTAAAGGAGGAAATAGACTAGGCCAAGGATCGGCCAGAATCCAGCTCTGGCTTTGCCGTTTCCCGGTCGCGGTCGGAACCGGCTGGGACGCGCTTTAGCCACGGCCCCCTGGAAATATATATATAGTATATATGTGTGTTTGCAAGAGCTATCCCACCATCGACATATCTCGTTCATATTGAATCTCCGAGCAAGAACGCCGGCATCATCGTCCGTATCTGTTTCACAAGGAAGCCATACATACGCACCGATCAATATCCATGGCCCTGCTAGCGGCGCACGCTGACATCCTCGCGTGCGTCCTCGGCCATCTCGCGCCGCGCAGCCTCGCCGTGTCCCGCAGTGTCTGCAAAGGCTGGCGCGCCATTGTCGACGACTACCGCCTGCTGCGGACGGACCTCCTCCCGCTCTCGCTCCACGGTATCTTCTTCATGGAGGAGCTCTGTCCAGACCCACCAAAGCTCTTCGCAAACCCACTCACAAAGCACAGAATTGACGACGCAAGCCTTGGTTATGTCAAGAACGACGAGGGTTCATTTATCGAGAATCACTGCAACGGGCTTCTCTTGCTTTGGAACCACCTCGTGGTTAATCCGGCGACTCGTCAATGGGTGCGTTTGCCTCCGCCCCCGCCTAGGTGCACAGGGATGGAGGACTTTCGCAACGACGTGTGCCTTGTTTATGACCCCACCGTGTCGCCGCACTACGATGTGCTTCTTCTTCCTTGTGTCTCCTACGGTCTTCTTGATTGCGCAACAACAATATTCACGGAGGAATCGGAGTGGCCGCCCTTGGCCTACCCAATACAAGTCTTCTCTTCAAGGACATGGAGATGGGAGGAGAGGTCGTTGGCCCGGAGAGGAGAGGCTGCAGGGACCATCGCTGACATGGATCCATATAGGGATTATGAACACCGTTATGCCGTCTACTGGAAAGGAGCGATCTATGTGCATTGTCAAAATGACTCCATTTTACGGTATGCATTTGCGCGCTGGTCATTACTTTAATCATGTTAATTTTTTTTTGAAGAAGATGAAACTCATCTCATCGGACTAGTCTCTCTGTTTCACAACGTAGCTAGTGCATATTTAGTCTTGAAAAAAATTCAAACATGTTTACGTTTGACCAAGTTTGTAGAATAAACTACATATGTCTAAATCATTTAATAAATAAAATATAAATATACGCTTTGTGATGAATCTGATGATACTTAATTTTTAATTTTGAATGTTGATATTTTCTTCTATAAGTTTGGTTCTAAACATAGACATGCTTGACTTTCTAAAAATCAAATATGTGCTACATTATGGAGCAGAAGTAGTAGTATCTCTTAACAGACATCTTATCTTCATCCACCTGATATGTTTGCAGCATAACCTTAACGGATGGTTCGTATGAAGTGATTAAATCGCCAACAGGAAGTAAAATGGAAGATTCCACCAATCTTTATCTAGGGAAATCAAAGAAGGGGGTGTACTGCACTTTGATTTATAATGATACCTGGGGGGGACTTCAGATTTGGTTGCTTACTGAATCATGTGGTAAGTGTGAGTGGGTGCTAAAGAATGGCATCAACTTCGCGGCAGCGGTGGCAAAATTTTCTTGGTTTTCTCGTGATGAAAACCAAGGACTGTGGATCCTACAGAAAGGTGATTGTGATGAAAATGTTAAGGAAGCACCAGTGCAAGATAACTATGAATGGGACTTCGACAATGGTATTATCCTTGCGGCTGAAGATAAGGTTGAATCTGACGATATGAATTTGGGAGTGCTTTATTTCCTTGGATTTCATCCATACAAAGAGATTGTCTTCCTACGAACACAAGCGAGGGTAGTTGCTTATGATTTCAGTAGATTGAAAGTACAAGACTTGGGCCAGTTACGTGTACAGTGTGTAGGAAGTGTTTTCCCCTACACACCATGTTAGACGGGAGATATATCTGAAAAGAATTAACTGTGCAGAGAGTCAATATATACGGGGTGTTTCTTTTGAAGGAAATGTTTTTTTTAAGGAATACCGGGGTGTAGGGTGTGTTTTAAATGAGTTGTTACCTGTATATGTTCATGAATGCTTAAAGAAGATAATTGTAACAGTCTACTCCGATCTTGATTCCATTTCTTTCGTGCGTGTTTTTTTATGGAATGTGCATTAGAATATATTGAATGGTTTTACCAAGCATATGCGAACAATCGGCCGCGGATATGCTAGCTTGTACTTGTTGCTCCCAAACAAATAATGAATTATGAAAGGACCGACTAATGTGTTGTTTGAGATGCTTATTTATTTTGAGACGAAGAAAGTAGTAATTATCTGAATCACATCACAGAGAGATAGATGAGCGTTTAAGCAAAACGTTAGCTTACGTAGAATATCTTCGTAGGTCTAGCATTGCTCCTCTGCATCAATTTCATACGTACTCTAAATATGGAGTCTCCGAGCAAGAGCGCCGGCGATCATATTCATCGCCCGTCGTCTCTGACTCTGATTCAAAAGGAAGCAGCAGCCGTACGCACCGATCAATCCATGGCCCTGCCTCTGCCCCTGCCCGACGACATCCTCGCTTGCGTCCTCGGCCGTCTCGCGCCACCCAGCCTCGCCGCGTCCCGCTGCATCTGCAAAGGCTGGTGCGAGCCGACGGCCGCCGTCGGTTGCGGACGGACCTCCTCTCGCTCTAGCTCTACGGGATCTTCTTCATGGAGATGGACGTCCTCTGCGGGGACCCCCAAAGCTCTTCGCAAACCCGCTGACGAGCCGCAGGATCGACGCAAACCTTGACTACGTGGAGGAGGATGTACGCATCAAAGAATCACTGCAACGGGTTTCTCCTGCTCTCGGTCCACCTGGTGCTCAACCCCGCCACACGACAATGGGTGCGCTTGCCTCCGCCTCTGCTGTGGTGCATCGTGACCGGGATGGAGGGCTTCTACAACGTCGTCTGCCTTGCCTTTGACCCCACCGTGTCCCCGGACTTTGAGGTATTTATGAATCCTCGCGTCCCCTGCAATCTTGATTCCACGGAGACAATATTTACGGCGGAATCGGAGTGGCCGCCCTCGTCATGTGCAATACGAGTCCAAATTTCGTGTTTTGACCCTTTTGTGAAACAAAATCGAAATCTGATCCCAGTTTGAAAACATTTCGGGATTTGATCCTTTTGCCTACCGCCAGGTGGCCCGGCGGTAGGATCATATAGCCTACCGCCTAGAGCTGCGGCGGTAGGAAACTTTTCCACGCCAGCAACGATAACGGCCGCCGTGCCCCTTCCGTCACACCCTACCGCCGCCCCACCAGGCGGTAGGTTGTCTGATTTGGAAGCACCAGTGCAACATAACTATGAATGAGACTTCGACAATGGTATTATCCTTGCGGCTGAAGATAAGGTTGAATCTGACGATATGAATTTGGGAATGCTTCACTTCCTTGAATTTCATCCATACAAAGAGATTATCTTCCTGCGGACACAAGCGAGGGTAGTTGCTTATGATTTTAGTAGATTGAAAGTACAAGACTTGGGCCAGTTACCTGTCCAGTGTGTAGGAAGTGTTTTCCCCTACACACCATGTTGGACGGGAGATATATTTGAAAAGAATTAACTGTGCAAAGAATATATATATAGGGTGTGTTTTAAACGACTTGTTACCTATATATGTTCATGAATGCTTAAAGCAGATAACTGTAACAGCCTACTCCGATCTTAATTCTATTTCCTTCATATGTGTTTTTTTAATGGAATGTGCATTAGAATATTGAATGGTTTTACCAAGCATATGTGAACAATCAGACGCGGATGTGCTACACTTGTACTTGTTGCTCCCAACGAAATAATGAATTATGAAAGAACCGACTAATGTGTTGTTTGTATCGACGGGACATTCGTTTATATACTGACTATGTATGTGCTCGTGCTTTGTCACGTGAGCCAAATTTTGTAATGCTATAGGAGCATATACATTGGCCTTATCCGGTGCGATTAGCCCCCCCCCCACTCGTTCCCCATCTCCCCGGCCACCCCTCCGCCCCACCCTCGACCCGTGCCGCCGCCCGATCCAGTGCTCCGCCCGCCGCCGCCTTTCTCTTCCCGTGCTCCGGCTGTCGCCGCCGCCCCACCCGCGCTCTGGCCTGCAGCTGCCCTTCCCTCGACCCTCCCCGCCGCCGCCCACCCACGCTCTGCCCCAGCCTCGTCGTCTCGTCCCGCGCCGCCGACGCCCTTCCCTACACATCCTGTCAGGCGCCTCACATCCTTAAATGTCCTTAGCGCTCGGATCTGCTCGATGGCTTTGATCTTGTCGGGGTTGGCTTCGATCCCGCGATGGGGCACAAAGAACCCAAGCAGCTTGCCGGAGGGAACACCAAATACACACTTCTCCGGGTTGACCTTTAGATTGATCTTGCGCAGATTATCAAATGTCTCTTCCAAATCCTGAATAAGGGTGGCCTTATCCTTGGTTTTTACCAAAATATCATCCATATAGGCTTCTATGTTTCTGTGCAACTGTGGCTCAAAACCAATCTGGATTGCCCTTGCAAAAGTGGACCCGACACTCTTTAATCCAAAGGCATGCGGACAAAGCAGTACGTACCACGTGGGGTGATGAACGATGTCTTCTCTTCATCTTCCTTGGACATGAAGATTTGTTGATACCCAGAGTATGCGTCCAAAAATGAGAGCAAATCACAACCTGGAGTGGAATTCACAATCTGATCAATGCGCGGCAAAGGAAATAGGTCTTTCGGGCAAGCCTTGTTAAGATCTGTGAAATCTATGCAAAGTCTCCATTTCTCGTTAGCCTTCCGGACTACCAGTGGATTTGCCAACCACGTGGGGGTGCAATACTCCTCTGACCAAACCAGTTGCCTCAAGTTTCTTGATCTCTTCCGCAATGAACTGATGCCTCTCCAAGGCCTGCTTCCATACTTTCTGCTTGACAGGTCGGGCATGTGGGCAGACAGCAAGGTGGTGCTCAATTACCTCCCTGGGAACACCGGGGATATCAGATGGCTGCCAGGTAAACACATTGATATTCGCCCGCAGGAAGACAATGAGCGTGCTTTCCTATTTGTCATCAAGGGTGGCGCTGATAGTAAAGGTACCATCAACGCCAGCCAGCCATGCCGGGACCTTCTTCACTTGAGGTACAACAACCTTGGATCTTTTGCTGTTGGAGCACTCCGGCATGTTGTCAACGGGTGTCGTGCACTCGGTGGGGGCACGCTTCCCGGACTCCTTGCCGGAGGTCTTACAGCCTCTCTTCTTTTCTTTGCTTTCCTTGGCGGGAGATGCCGCTATCGCGGCCTCTGCCGCGACCGCATCCCGGTACATCTTGTCCACACAAATAATGGCATACTTCTCATCTGATGGGATGGTGATGACTCCCGGTGGCCCAGGCATCTTCAAGGTGTTGTAGGCATAGTGAGATGCTGCCATGAACTTAGCCAGGGTCGGGCGTCCCAGAATCCCATTGTACGGCAGGGGGAGATCAACCACATCAAACACAATCCTCTCAGTCCGGTAGTTCAGTTCTCCCCCAAACGTTACCGGCAGCGTGATCTTTCCCTTAGGACGGCTCCTGCCGGGATTAACTCCTTGAAACGTGTCGGTAACCTCTAACTCTTCTCCTATTTGAAGCTTGCCGATGACTGCCGGGGAAATCAGAGTCAACCCGGCCCCGCCGTCCACCAGCATCTCTATGACCTTGAGGTTGCAGATTGTTGGAGAGACCAACAACGGAAGCATCCTACCATAGTGGTGCGGCTAGGATGGTTCTCCTCGTCGAAGATGATGGGCGTACGGGACCACTTGAGCGGCTTCCGGGCCTCTGGCGCTGGTTCCACGACATTGACTTCTCACGCCCACCGCTTGAGCTGGCGGTGAGAAGCGTGCAAAGATGCACCTCGTCAATACATAGGGCGTCTGTGGCCTTTTGAAACTCTTGCTCACTGGTTTCCTCTTAATCCCCTCCATCACTCTCATCATTACAGGCTTCCTTCTGTAGACCTCTGTCGGGCTTTCCATGTTTCCGAAAGAGCTTGTCGGGGCGGTTTGCTTCACCACCTCGGCCCTTCCCGCCAGCAACATTCTGACACTTTTCCTTGTCATGCTTCTCATACTCTGCTTTCTGCTACTTGACAAGCTGCTCAACCTGATAACACTCTTGAAGGTCGTGGCCCTTGGTCCGATGAATCTTGCAATACGATCCATCACCTTTCCCAGCTTTCTCGGCAGCAGCGGCTTCCCTGCAGTCAGTGCACACGGCAACTTCCTTGCCGGGGACATCTGCTTTGGCCTTCTTGCCGGTACTAGGCGTACCAGATCCTTCAACAGTCATCACTGCCTTATCTCTCCGCTTTTATCTCTTCTTCTGACTAGTTGATTCATCCTCATCCTCTAAATCAACATTGATGCAATCTTCCTCTCCGGGAAATCTCCTTCCCTCCTCCATCCAACCACACTTATCCACTAATGTGTAAAGCTCATTCACAGTCTTCGGCAACCGCACGTTCATCTTGGAACGGATGCAGCGGTTGCGCACATTGGACTAGAAGGCAGCTATTACGGCTGCCGGATGGATATTTGGGATATTTCTATGAGCTCTGCTGAATCTCTGTAAATACTTACGGAGAGTTTCTCCTTCCTTCTGCTGGAGAAGCTACAAATCGTTGGGCCTGCCGAGTTCCTGATGGCCGCCAGTGAAGGCGCCAATGAACTCATGGCAGAGGTCGGCCCACGACGAGATGGAGTTCTCCAGTAGGTGCATCAGCCAAGACCTCACATTGGACTTGACAGCCAAAGGGAAGTAGTTGGCAAACACCTTCTCATCTCTTCCCCCGGCAGCCTGAACAACGATGGTGTAGATACTCAGGAACTCTGCTAGGTTCAGCCTCCTGTCGTACTTCTCAGGTATCTCTGGCTTGAACATGCGAACGGACGGCCAACGGACTTGCCGCATCTCTCGTGTAAAGGCAGGGCTGCCAGCCTCGAAAGGTAGGCACCCGCCAACACTGAGCACGAGCTCGTCGACGTTGAGGCCGTCGTACCCGTCGGTCCGGCGAAGGTCGTCGCAGCGTTGCTCGACAACGCGCGCGTCTCCTCTCCGCCTATCCTCCGGGGCTCGACGTTGGCCTGGACATGCTCGAGGGTCAGAAGAAGCCATCGAGACGTCGTTAGGGTCTTGATTCGATGGTGCTCGCTCTGGCTGTCGTGGCGGGGACTGCACCTTGGGGATGGCCCCTTTCGTACGGTCGGCAGCATGAGCTGTTGCTGTCGCTTGGGGAGGCTGCGGCGGGCTAGCTCGCCGCGAGCCCCCAGCTTCAGCGACACCGAGTAGACTCTGGATTGTGGCATGCCATTCGTCCATGTTGCATGAGTACTGCGCCGATGCCGTCCTTGCACGCATTTGTCTCCAAGACAAAGGGCTATTGGAAATCGGGCACAACCAACACTGGTGCTGCCATCATCGCCTTCTTGAGCAGCTGGAAGGTTGTTTCTGCATGAGGTGTCCATTGGAAAACCGTGCCTTTCTTCAACAAGTCTGTCAGGGGTCGGCTAATCACCCCGTAGTGCTGAATGAACTTCTGGTAGTACCCTATAAGCCCCAGAAATTCACGAACAACACGGACCGATGTGGGTGTAGGCCAGGTTTGCACCGCTTCAATCTTTGCTGGATCGGTGGCCACTCCATCAACGCTGATGACGTGTCCGAGGTACTCTATTTTGGGTTGAGCGAATGCACATTTGGATCGTTTGATGACCAGTTCGTTGTCACGGAGGAGCCGGAACACTTCACGTAGCCGACGAATGTGTTCGTCCAAGGTGGCAGTATGCACCAAGATGTCATCCATGAACGCCAACACCCCATGTCGGAGCAGAGGGCCTAGAACCTTGTGTATCACTCCTTGGAAGGTGCCTGGTGCGCGAGACAGGCTGAAGGGCATAACTAGGAACTCGTATAGGCCTTGATGCGTGCGAAAGGCTGTTTTAAACACATCTTCATCCGCAACTATGATCTTGTGGTACCCGAAGAGCAGATCCAACTTGGTGAACCACTTCGCTCCTGCAATCTCGTCGAGCAGCTCATCTACCACTGGCATGGGTTGCTTGTTCTTGATCGTGATAGCATTTAGCTGTCGATAGTCAACACAGAAACGCCATGTTTCGTCTTTCTTGCGAACAAGTAAAACTGGAGCAGCAAATGGGCTAGAACTCGGGCAAATTGTAGCCGCGCGGAGCATCTCTTTAATTTCTCGCTCAATCTCATCTTTCTGCTAGGTGTGTACCGATACGGTCTAGCAATGACTGGTTGTGCTCCTGGAATAAGAGGTATGGTATGGTCATCCATACGATAAGGGGGTAGCTTGGAAGGTACGGTGAAACGATCATCGAACTCCTACAACAGGGACTGCACCTCTGTGGGGATGTTTTCCTCCTTCTCATGTATGTGCATAGCTAACAACTCTTGTTCTTGGTGAACTTGCCTGACCTGCACTGCTGCTGGACTGCCCCACGACGTAACAACCCTTTCAATTTTCCCACGGAGACTGGCTTGCACTTGGTTGGTGTTGACCGAATCCCTTTTAGCGTAATTCATCGGCCTTC